GGGTTTAGGGGTCGGGGGGGGGAGAGGTTTTTTTTTTTAGTTTTTTGTTTTTTTTCTCTCGATTTGACACGTGTCAGATGTTGATTGGCGCGTGTAAGAGCAATCTTTAAGCAGATGTGGTCATACACCGAAGCGGTGTGTAATTGACACACCTTTAAAAGTTTTGGTGTGTAATATTATTCCCGTATTTAAGAGGTGTGTAAGAGGAATTTGGGGACAGGGTCGATGAGTAAAGTATGTATTTTGCCTAAAGAGTAAAAGTGCAAGCATAAACCTCCTGTAATGAAGTCCATGGAACACATGCATCTGTGACACCCTAGGCGAACATAGATAAACCTCCTGGATATATAAGTAAACAGATCTTAGACCCTAGTGACACGTTTTAAAACCGTGCTGGCCTAGGCCCAAAGCAGACGATATCATTAGTGGGCTGGCTGCTACATATGGTATCAGAGTTACGTGCGTGCAACCTTGAACGATGGTGGGGCGTATCCTATATCGACAAAACACGGGAGAGATGTGGGCTGAGCTCTTACAACATCTGAATGCCAAGGCTTGTTACATGCACCTTGGCGTTCTCTAGGCAACTTAAGCCGCTCATACGGTTATATTTCGTTCATTTGCTATTTGGCTTCTGAAAGTTTTCTTGTTGTGTGTGATCCTCAATGGAAGTGTCTTATGATTGAAATGGTTGTTTCAAGTTTATGAACTAATCTGTGCTTTTGTGATAACTGTGCAACTAATAATGGTTATGTTGCTGGATATATATTTGATCTATTTCAGCTTTCAGCTCATCATTGTTCTCCACAGTAATTGTACTTGAATCTGCGGACCATATTAATCCGACGACACTCTTCCTTAGCCTGCATTATTAAACCATCTTGAGTAGACGGCATATGATTATTTTACTTCGTATGTCAGACGTTGTGATAGCAACATTTTACCCAATTTTACTCACATCTAAAAGGCCATCAGTAAATTGTTTTCTGGGCGTGGAACCGATATCATTGAGCAGCAATCAGTTGTGCCTCATAATTTCCAATCTGAATTGGCTGAGTACTATGGTAGTTGAATGTAAAATTCTACAAACAATTACATCATGTATTGAGAAAAAAAAAGTTGGGTTTATCACTGACTTTTACGCGGACATGATTGGTGCATAAGGTTCTAATGTTGACCTATCAAGAACCAGCCAATGGGTACCAATTAAACTGAAAGTACAATAAATTAAACCTGGACTATACCTAATCATAAGTGGTTGGTATCCAATTAATCACCTCATAAATCAGAGTGTTGGTGCTGCATTTCTCTACTTTTTACTTCAATCACCGCCTAATCTTGTCCAAAGTCGTTCTTAATAATTCTGGTAAAATTATGCTGACTAAGAAAACTAGAGTTAATGTGATAGGATAAAATCGATGCTGAAGTAGTTCTTCTATTCCACTTCTTTTATGAGTGGGGTTGGAGAGAAGGTCAGAAGGCAAGCAGCATTAAAGTTTCTTGATCTGACTAGGAGAGTAGGAGGGTTAGTAGTGAAACGGTAAGTACTCATTCATCCTTAACCGAGGTCTTAGGTTCGCCCTTATGTGAATACCGGACACTGGGGTGGAAAACAAAAAAAAAATAGAAAAAAGAAGAAAAGAAAAGCTTCTTGATCTAACACTCTGTTTGGATCATTGTTTCTCAATATTTTATAATGTATTGTATTGTATTGTATCGTAGATTGCATTGTTTGTTATTGTTAAATAATATTTTGCTGTTTGGTTTGACCTATCGTACTGTACTGTAACTGATAAGTTTACTAAAATACCCTCAATTGTTTAAATGTTAAATATTTCAAAAATTACGCATAAAAGTAATTTTAAAAAACAAAACAAAAGATGGCAAAATACCTTAAGAAAGCAAAACAAAGGAGCACAGCTAATTAGAATTGAGTTAAAAGCAAAGTAGGAGAAAAAATAAAACAAAAGGCGGCAATAACGTTGGCGGCATAAGTTTCGGAAAAAAATAAAGTAGGTTATGGGTTGGTGATTTGGAGTTTAAAATAAAAATAAAAAAAGGTAAAGAGTAAAATAGAATTGTGGAGTAATAAATTAGGGCATAATTGGAAAGAAAAATAGGAAACAATCTCACCACACCGAATCGGTTGTTTAAAAAAAAGAATTTTTCATTGTTTTGGAACACTGAATTTAACAATACAATACAATCAATTTTAATAAAACAATCAAAATAAATATTATTTTGGAATAACAATACAATACGATTTTGCATCCAAACAACCTGTAAGGAATTTTGCATACAGTCCATCGCAACCGTAAAAAATTCTACCTCCGATGGAAACAATAAAGTTGCTTTTGAGAAGAAATTTGCGGCATGACACCCAAAGAAAACAAAACAAAACAATGGTGGGTAAGTGATAACGTCATATCAAATTGCTGATATAAGGTTAATAATGACAGCCATTTTTATTAATTAGTTAAATAAGCAAGTGGTTCAGAAGTCTTCTATAGGGGTCATATTCTATTGACATCTATCTATAGATTTATCCGTAAGTTTGCCAGAATCAAGCTTAAAGACTCCTTCAAATTTCAAAGGCATCTACCTCAAGTATCAGCAATATAGCTCTCTGGCTAATCCTGCAAGTCCTTCAACATCTGGTCCCAAACAAGTATATTCTTGAACCTTACTGAAATATTTGTGATTCTAACTACTAGTCTAATTGCCCTACTAATATTTGTTTCTTGATACGGTGGACCAACTAGTCTAAACTCAGTCCCTACAGAAGAAAAACAAGTTCTGCTACAACTTACAGTCATATTAAAGATTGAAAGGTTGGTTTGAACAATAGCTATCTCCAGTTATTCAGCTTCAGCATATATTTTGATCATCTTCTCATAATCTTGAAAGCTCAAACTTCTAAATCCGGCAAGAATCTATTGGATAATAGTTGTTGAAATGAAGCAAAGGGAAGGTAAAAGTGTAGCTGCTGGAAAAGAGATCAAGAAGACGGCTCCACCACCTCCGCCACCACTACCAGCATGGAGGTTTATTTGTAGCAAGAAACAGCTATTTAAGCCGATGGCAGCACCAAGCCTGACCCAACAGGAGATTGCTAAGTATTGGAAGCAGAAGCGCAAAACTGAAGAAGATCACTTCCTTGATGCTATTAAGGCTGCAGCCCGTATCAGGGCACGCACTTTCTCGGTAAAGTTTCGTATCAATTCCATTAAAATAGTGAATTAATACGTGTAAATTCGTACAATTTTTGACAGATGAATCAGAACTATGGGAAACAACCTTATTGTTTTAGAATTCAGGGTTTTGATTTGTTAATACTTGGTTAAAGTTTATTTTTTCTCATTGCAAGGATTCCTCATCCTGATCTATGTCCAGCTTGCAACTTTTGATAAAGCATTTACAGCAGTCTGATAGCCTGTTTGGCTAAGCTTCTAAAATTTGCTTATTTTGAGAAGTGCTTTTCAAAAAAATTACTTTTGGTGAGAATCAGTTTGTGTTTAACTAATTAATTTGAAAAATACTTTTGAGCAGTAATTAGTGTTTGACCAAGCTTTTGAAAACTGCTTCCAAGTATATTTTTCTCAAAAATACTTTTCAGAAAAGTGCTTTTGGAGAGAAACTATATTTTTCTGCTTCTCAAAAACTGTTTATGCTTCTCGTCAAAAATATTTTTTTTTTCCTTCTAAAAGCTAGGCCGAACATACTATTAGAAAGTAGGAGACATGTCAATTCACACAATATATGACTTCGCAACTTCTCCATACTCAAGACTAGATAAATAGTACGTAAGAAATATTGAGTGCTCCATTTTCTTTGCGTGTTTTCCTATCAATAAGATTCCTTAGAAGTCATATTCATCCGAAGGGCCAATAACAATAGTTAATTGAAGAGGACGATGTCCACAAGCAAAGGTTATTACGTTGCATTTATTATATACACTATAACACTGGAATCTTCTTATGGGTCCAGTAGGCCACTAATATATTGAATGATAAAATATGTTTTGGATGAATATCTACTGTTGTTTTCTGTCTAATATATATAGGAATATAAAATAAGTTAAGAAAAGATACCATTCCCCACCTCTTGAATCTTTAACGAGATGCGTAAGCTGCACTTTGCGATATGTACAGCTAATGACAACGACCTGACTTTTATTACCCTTTTTTTTTTCCTTGTCCCAATCTCTGTACTATTTCTATGGAAACTGTCAAGATGAATTTGGAACTTATCCTACTCCATTAAAGAGTAGATTTTGACAGGTCAATTTACAACACACTATATCTTGCCTGTCATCTGTTACTGATACTTGCATCAGGGTACGCTGTCTACATCACACTCCTTGGCGTGCGGTCCTTCTCTGGACCCTGCGTGAACGCAAAATGCTTCGTGCATCGAACTACCCCATAGCGGCGTCCTAATTAGTATTTGATTTAGACACCAGTATTCTTAATAAACTTGCTTCCCTATTGTCTGCTGTATTAAGGAGGAGGACTACAAACACTTCGTGGATTCTTTAAAGCATGATGATGAAGACAAGGAGAATGAAATGGCAACTGAGAACATCTCCAAAAATGATGAGAACACGAAGGAGAAGAGAGTTGGTATAAAAGACTGGTAAGTGCTAGAGACTTTTAACACATTTTAGGTCATTATGTTAGGATATATTTCTCTATGATATCATTGTCTTTCATTTGTTTTAAAAAGTAAAAGCATTTTTTATATATATATTTTTGAGAATTGCAGGTGGACAAAGAGCAAGTATGCATATCTAAACCAACCTGCTGTGAAATCCATGGAACGCCAAGGTTCCACTTATATTCCACAACTATATTGCTACAAGGCTCCTCCTCCACCAGTTACAAGCACTTTCGGCATATTCTAAGGCAATTCAATCTACGTACAGTCATATACCATATATTTGTATTGTGCTTCAGTGTATATCATTGTTTACTATGTGTGATCCTCAAAGGAAGTGTCATATGATTGAAATGGTTGTATTGGTTTTATGAACTACTCTGTTGCTTTTGTGAAACCAATGTCAATAAATAATGGTTTATTGTTGGATGCTCAATCAATTTCAGCTTTCAATTCATCAAGTTTGTGTAGAACCAGATCTCTGCTGCTTTTTTTTTTTAACTCTGTTGCCCACTCACATCCAAACATGATGTGACATTTTACCTATTATAACTATTAGAAATCCAGGTTTCAAACTATGGTCTTAAATACATGTCTTTCCAAATCTAACATGATAATCGTACCATATCAAACCAAACACCCCCCTTCCCCTTTATCTGTATAGATTAAAAGTCATTTCTTGCGTTAGCTGCGTTGTATTTTCCCCCTTCTTCTATTGCAAGACACTAGGTTATTTTAGGGAGGTGATGTAAGTATCTCTTTGAAGTGATGGATATCACTGGTGAAATAATTCTGATGCAGAATTCTTTTTGATAACAACAACAATAACAACAAACCGATAAGTTCCCACAAGTGGGATCTGGAGAAGGTAATGTGTACGCAGACCTTACCCCTACCCTAGGAGGTCTTTTGGATAAGTAAAGGTAAAATAATTTTGATATCCACAGAGAGGAGTCAATTTTTTGAGGGTTGGGTGTGTCATCTCTAATCGCAATAAGTTAAAGATCCAGCAGTTCAACAAGCTTTCAAAAATTTGAAAAACTTTAAGATGCTTCTGGAGCTGTATTATTTTTAACTTGTAAATAGACCTTGATAAACCATTGAATGATGATCTAAGCAGTTGGACCACTTGTACTGGTCTACATTTTGGACATCAATTCAAGAACCCATTTTTCTTTTCTTTCCTGTAAGAAAATTCTGATTTGACAGAGTACTAACTGTTAGTTTGATAGTTAAATAGTAGTAAATAACCCTAATCCCATATGTATTAGGAGTAGGACATGTATTATATATATATATAGGGCTCATTGTATCATTGTCAATAATTAATCAATAATATTTTCTCCCGTGCATTCTCACATGGTATCAGAGCATTGGTGAGATAATTATGGTTGTGCGTCATTCCAACGACATCCGGGAAGAAATCAGTCGTCACCGTGCAATTTTTCGGCGAACTAAGTGACTGTTTACATCAAAGTCATTATTTATCAGTGTTGTGAACAAACCAACACCACCACAAGGTCCGCTGTAGCCCCGCGACCAAATCCTAACAAAACCCGCCGGAAAACTCATCGCCACGCGCCCTCACGCGCCGGGCAGAGTAAACATTTTCCGGCGAGATCTGTGCACGCGCCGAGCGCGTGAGACCCCTTCCAGCCATTTTCCGACGAACTTCCTTCAGGAAAGGTCACTCGCACCTCAATTCCGAGTCGACCAGTGCTATCCTTGACAGATTCCGACGACTTTTTTATTTTCCGGCGAGCTACAGTGTTTCCGGTGAACAGTAACAGTGAAACAATGACTTCCAAACAATTTTCTGACCTTTTTCGGCGTAAACATTATAATGTCATTCTTATTAGAAGCCCTAGACTCACAATTTGTTGGATCGAATGCATTAAATCCAATCCAGATGGTTTCTTTACCGGATTATATTGAGTTCCTTCAGTACAAAGCACGTAAACAGACATTTTCAGGATTAGCCCCCGTTGTTCCAACAAATAGTAGCATGACTGGTGTCTCCCAATCTTCACCTTCTGAGTCTTGGGTCATTGATTCAGGTGCATCTGATCATATTTCTGGTAACAAATCTCTTTTCACTAGTATCTCATATTCTCAATCTCTTCCAACAGTCACAATGACCAATGGGTCTCAAGCCATGGCAACTGCAATAGGTCAAGCAAGTCCACTTCCTTCCTTACCTTTAGACTCAGTTCTTTATGTTCCTGGTAGTCCTTTTAATCTCATAGCCATTAGTCGCTTAGCCAAATCACTTAAATCTGCTGTTTTATTTCTTGATGACCTTGTTTTTATACAGGAATGCAGTACAGGGCGGATCATTGGTACCGGACGTGAATCAGATGGACATTATTACCTTATCCTTGCAAAATCACATGGACTCGCATCTTGTCTTCCTCCAATAACTTGTCCCGTTACTGATTCACCAGATTTATTACATAAACGGTTAGGACATCCCAGTTTGTCAAAACTTCAGAAAATGGTACCTGGCTTATCTCACTTGTCCACTCTAGAGTGTGAGTCGTGTCAGCTCGGTAAGCATACCCGCTCCCATTTCCCGCGACGTCTTGATAATCGAGCAGAGTCGCCTTTTACTTTAGTCCATTCAGATGTTTGGGGTCCTAGTCGGGTTAGTTATACCTTAGGATTCCGCTACTTTGTCAGTTTCATTGATGATTATTCCAGGTGCACTTGGATATTTTTGATGAAAAACCGATCTGAGTTGTTTTCTATTTTTTAGACCTTCCACGCTGAAATTCAAAATCAATTTGGGGTTCCTATCCGCACATTTCGTAGTGATAATGCCCTAGAGTATTTGTCTTCCCCATTTCAACAGTTTATGAACTCCCATGGGATTATTCATCAAATATCTTGTCCGTACACATCCCAACAAATGGGGTAGCTGAAAGAAAGAATAGACATCTTATTGAAACTGCTCGTACCCTACTCATACAATCTCATGTTTCGCTGCATTTTTGGGGGGATGCAGTTCTTACATCTTGTTATCTTATTAATCGTATGCCATCTTCAGCTTTCCAAAATCAATTTCCATTCTCTGTCTTGCACCTGACCCTGCTAATACTGCAGTGTCTCCTCTTAATCAACCGATTGCACTACGAAAAGGTATACGGTCCACGCTTAATCCTAATCCTCATTATATCGGTTTAAGTTACCATCGTCTCTCATCGTCCCGTTGTGCATTTGTGTCATCTTTGTCCTCTATTTCCATCCCTATGTCTACAGGTGAAACACTGCCTCATCCCGGATGGCAACATGCTATGATTGATGAGATGTCTGCCTTACATACGAGTGGTACTTGGGAGCTTGTTCCTCTTCCTTCAGGTAAATCGACGGTTGGTTGTCATTGGGTGTATGCAGTCAAAGTTGGTCCAAATGGCCAGGTTGATCGACTTAAGGCTCGTCTTGTTTCCAAAGGATATACTCAGATATTTGGACTCGATTACAGTGATACTTTCTCTCCCGTGGATAAAATTGCATCAGTCCGCCTTTTTCTATCCATGGCTGTTGTTCACCATTGGCCTCTCTATCAGTTGGACATTAAGAATGCTTTTCTTCGTGGTGACCTTGAGGATGAGGTTTATATGGAGCAACCACGTGGTTTTGTTGCTCGCGGGGGGGGGGGGGGGGGTAGGGTGGGTCTAGTGGCCTTGTATGTCGGTTGCATCGGTCCCGTCTATGGTCTAAAGCAGTCTCTCGAGCTTGGTTGGTAAGTTCAGCACAGTTATTCAGGAGTTTGGCATGACTCGTAGTGAAGCTGATCACTCTGTATTTTATCGACATTTTGCTTCAAATCTCTGTATTTATCTTGTCGTTTATGTTGACGATATTGTTATTACCGGCAATGATCAGGATGGTATTAGTAAGTTGAAGCAACATCTCTTTCAGCACTTTCAGACTAAGGATCTGGGCAGATTAAAGTATTTTCTGGGTATTGAGGTCGCTCAGTCTCGCTCAGGTATTGTGATCTCACAACGGAAGTATGCCTTAGATATTCTTGAGGAGACAGGAATGACAGGTTGTAGACTTGTTGACACGCCGATGGATCCGAATCTAAACTTCTGCCAGGACAGGGGGAGCCTTTTAGCGATCCTCCAAAATATAGGCGGTTGGTTGGTAAATTAAATTACCTCACAGTGACTAGACCTGACATTTCCTTTCCTGTGAGTGTTGTGAGTCAGTTTATGGATTCTCCATGTGATAGTCATTGGGATGCAGTTGTCCGCATTCTTCGGTATATAAAATCAGCTCCATGCAGAGGCTTATTATTTGAGGATCGAGGCCATGAGCAGATCGTTGGATACTCAGATGCTGATTGGGCAGGATCACCTTCTGATAGACGTTCTACGTCTGGATATTGTGTCTTAGTAGGAGGAAATTTGGTGTCTTGGAAGTGCAAGAAACAGAATGTGGTTGCTTGGTCTAGTGCAGAAGCAGAATATCGAGCAATGGCTATGGCCACATGTGATCTAATTTGGATCAAACAGTTGCTTAAGGAGTTGAAATTTGGTGAGATTAGTCAGATGGGACTTGTGTGTGATAATCAAGCTGCTCTTCATATTGCATCAAATCCAGTGTTCCATGAGAGAACTAAACACATGAGATTGACTGTCACTTTGTTAGAGAAAAGATACTCTCGGGAGATATTGCAACAAAATTTGTGAAGTCGAATGATCAGCTTTCTGATATTTTTACCAAGTCCCTCACTGGTCCTCGTATTAGTTATATATGTAACAAGCTCGATACATATGATTTATATGCACCAGCTTGAGGGGGAGTGTTAGTTTGATAGTTAAATAGTAGTAAGTAACCCTAATCCCATACGTATTAGGAGTATGACATGTATTATATATATGGGGCTCATTGTATCATTGTCAATAATTAATCAATAATATTTTCTCCCGTGCATTCTCACACTAACCATAAGTAAAACCCTTAGGAAAAATCAAGATTAATTAGGAAAGCCATGCATCAAGGAAACATGCGCCATAACGCCATCAACAACCCAATGTTGCACTCATATATGAAGAAACCAGCTTGGAGTTTAATGATTAAAGGACGTAGTTGGAGAGAGAACTTTCAATGAGTATCAGCAAAGAGCTAACAATCTAGGGGTCAGTCATGACCGTAAAAAGATCAAATGTCAGAAATGAGCACTGATCACGCTCAACTGAGTCTCACAAAAGACTAAGTGGGCGTTGCAAATATAATCTGAGTATTATTGCCCAGACTCGAACCAAAGGGAACTAACCTATCAATCACTACTGTCAGATTTACTAAATTCACACAATCTGTTTTCCCAAACTTTTTGATTCACAATGGTTGATTTTCTAACAACTAAAGATTGAAAGTAATTAACAGCTAAAATTAACTAAACTTGATGTGTAAACAGTAGGAATAAGGTCTAAGGCAATGGTTTCCC